ATGAATAACGATAGTTCAGTGGGTAAGTGGGTGAAATGGACGTTCAGGCTGCCATCACCAGGGCCGGGTTCGGTCGCTGTGTCTACCGCTTGCTCCCTGCCCCTGTCTGCCGGGGTTCCCCGACCAGCCCCGGAACTAACGGCTCGGTTCGAGTGCCCGGTGTGTTTCAACTACGTGCTGCACTGTAGTCGACCAAAATTGGCTATAGACTAAAATGGACGATTTTGAAATCCCCCCAATCCCCCCCCCACCCCCCACCCTCCTCCCCCGGAGTTTTGTTTAATAATGAATAGTAGGACATATCCGTGAAAAAGGGGATGTCTGGTCACCCTACCATATCAACAATTTCAATGTTTCATTGAGTGAGTGCTTGTTGCTATGATGCGTCTTTGTTCAACAGCTTTGCTCGTTGTAAACCAACCAATCAGCGCACAGCTCATCTAAATATTCATGAGTATACCATAAAAGGAAGAAAACCTTTCGTTTCATTCTAGGACTTTTAACCAGGATTGCATTACGGCTCATAGAACAGCAAATATGCCATTTTCAGCCTAACCAATGTTACACACCCTCTTCAGAGACCTTAAGGACCAGCACCAAATACCCTATATAATCATTCTATGACCCCTTAAAGACAGTGTATAACTTCTTTAATGACTGAGGAGTATAGATAGCAGTGGCAACTCAGCATGCTATTACTGTACTCTATTTTCCTCAAGTCAGATGTTTCTCTCAGACATCAGAGGTAGGAAAGAAGCAATGAAGCCAATTTTATCTTGTAAGTGCCCCCCCCAAAAATACTGTCACATCACCATAAGTCCAGTCACGATGAAATTCATGAAACGGCTCATTGAACAACCCATCACAGTCGGTGTTCCTGTTTCATTTGACCTGCTACAGTTGGCATATCCTTCCGAATATTCATCCACCACCTTTCACTTGGTTAGTACTCATTTAAAATATAAAAGCACCATTCTCCAGCACGTTGACTTTAATTCAGCATTTAATACCATTATCACTGTTGAACACCACCTTGTGTCTTTGTATTCTGGACTTTCTGAACAAAGGACACAGGTTTTGGGGAAAAACAACTAAAATTATTTACACTAAGTCTTGGATCTCCTCCGCCATCAGCGGTTCACTCTCTTCAGATACCACAGTGTATCCAGACATAAGAGGACCTTATCAAGTTCCCGGCTGACACAACTTAGGTAGAGCTGATTAGTGAAAACAATGAATCAATGCAGAGGAAAAGGTGTTGAACACCTGTAAGGCTGGGGAAGAGAGACCACCTTGTGCTAAAAAAAAAGCCGAAACAAAGAAGAGGATTATTGACATCTGGAGGTTACACTGTGGGCATGCTTCTCACAGCATCAGCAGTGAGAGTGGAGGACATTGGATTTCTAAGTTTGCAGATCTCACCACACCAAAGCTGGGACAAGAACATCTAGTCATCACAAATCAGGGGCAGCAAAGACTGCACCTGCAGAGTTTGAAACAACCCTCTCTCTCTACCGGTATCCTCAGAACTTTATGCAAAGCTGCGGTTTAGTGATTTCTAGTGCCCTGTTTAAAGGTGCATTATACCAGTTCCAGTATCTCGGATAAAAAGGCATAGAGAGGATAATTAGAGCTACTGAGATCAGTAGATAAGTCTTCCCCACTGTCAAATGTCTTCAAAAACTACTACAGAACTAGGACAAGGAACCCCTCATAAACCAGTTCATGAATTCTTGAAAATGGTGCTTTGCTGCAAATATTACAACAGTATAAAAAGTAGAACCATTAGATTGATCGAAAGCTTTATTAGGAGGCTGTTGGGATGCTGAAATGCTGAATAGGAAGTAGTGGGCACCCTAGTGTCTCTGTCCACGTTTCAGATCTTTTTTTTATTTTATTATTCTTTACCACAAAAGTTAGGGTTCGAAGATGAATTACTGCGGTGATATGTTTGAAATGTTTGAGTGTTTTTAGAATAGTGGGGTAATGCAGGGCATGCACTTCTTCTATTGACCCTGGGGAAATGAATTTCTAATTTGCATTATCACTGTATGCACAGCAGATTGACAATAAAGATGGATTAGATTGAAGATTGTAGCTGCTGTCCTTGGTTCACAGCTGCATTATATAGTTTAAAGTTGGAGCTTTTGAAAATCTCTTGACTACACTTACCTTTTTCAGTATCTTCTGTTAAAAGCAATAATTAATATTTGTTGAATACTCATCTTTTTGGTTGTTTTGGATTGTGGTGTCTTAACTCTACATTACAGTTAATTGGCTCTGTATTTGCTTGGTAAATTCAGGACCCAAAGATTGTTTTCAAGTACCGCTAAAGAAAGCCTAAATAGTTCTAGTTAAAGGATACCTTAATGCTTTGAATACAAGCTTTTTTGACTTTTTTCTTTTCTTCTAACACCCAATAAAACAAGGAGACATACTGGTTTGCTGAACTATATTGTATATCTTTATTCACTCTGACAATAACACATTGTTAGCGCTCTACTGGAATCTGAAGAAGCAGCTAACACATTTCAACAGATATATTCGTTATCACATTTTGAGACAATAAAATTCAGCAGCTCTTGCTAAGCTGGCATTTCTTATTATACTTTGTGGACACATGCAGATAGATTATCCTGCTAGGGTTCAATTGCTTTAAAAGAAGAACGAAATGAAGAAAAGACAAAGGAGATAAAATGGAATAAGGGTTTAAAGTCAAGACATGACAGAAGACCAGGAAAAGAAAGTGCGGAGTAAATGAAATGCAATGCATCTCTGAGCCACCTGCCTGCATAGTACTCGACTTTTTCTCTGATTATATATTCTGTCCCTTTTCCTATATTCTCTTATTTTCTCCAACCCCAGTGTTTTTTTATCTCGGTTCTCCTGACTGTGCCCTGACACTCCAAAGCTCTGCTCCCCTCATTAACTCTCTTTCATGGAGCTGCAGATGACAATAATTGGTTTGAAAACTGAAGACAATGGCAGACAAGGATTATCCCCGGCTCACACCCACCACCACCGCCGCCGCCATCATCCAAAAAACCCACCCCAGGAGGATTCGGCCATTCTGCCCTCCTCCCCTCACTTCCTGTACTTCTCTCCTCAGCAGACACCCTTTTCTTTTTTGGCTTTATTTCTTCTAAACCACTGTCAGACTTGTCTTGTTTTCCCTCTTTTTTGGGAAGTCCTTCTTCCTACAGCTTTCTTCAGAGAGATGCAAGATGTCTCCCTGAGGCTCATACACGAACACAAGCAGAGAGAGAGCGAGAGCTCTGTGAAATGATAATGGCTTTTGATTAAAGATTGTGACTGATATGATGTCACCTTTCCAAGGAAAGCGTGAAGCTGTAGCGAAGTGACAGCGGGAAAACAAACAACTTTGCCCATCTAGGAACTTGTCGTTCTTGTCTGCAAATTAGCACAAGTTCAGTCAGATTTCCAGTATCCAGGTCTTGCAGCAGATTCTTATTTGAAGAGGGAACCTCTACTCCAGTCTCAGGTATTTTACTGCCTCTAAAATGATTTTTTTTCCAGAATTTCCCTGTATTCAGCAACCATTTTCTCCTAAACTTAAACTTCCTTGTAAGGCACCCCCACAGCACTATCCTGCCTCTTACCATGCATCTCTTTGTAGGTTGTAGCTTCATGATAATGGGCCATGTTAGTTTATCTCCAAACATACAGTAGTGTTTTGTATGTCCGACAAGAGTTTAACATCTTTCCCTTTGATGTGGCAAACTTTAAAATACACCTTCTTGTGTCTCTCCATTAACACGGGTTTCCTTAATGCTAATCTTCTACAAAGATAGGGCTAAATGAAATGGCCAAACCTTACATCATAATAAATTCTTTAAGTTTGCTTGATATCTTGTGATAAATAAAGAGAAATCATGAAAAACTGAAAATACAGTGCAGTTCGTTCACTGTGCCATATTTTAACCATTGCATCGAAATCTGGGGGAACTCATCAGTTAAATTTAGAAACTTTATTTATGTTACAGAAGAGAGCTGAAATATACACAGAGTTGGTTATAAAGTACACACCACTAAATTATTTGTTTAATCCAGAATATTAAAGCATGAAGATTTTGTTAAGCTTTGAATACAGTTAATTCTGTTCAAAGCAATATGTCAAAAATCACAGAAAAAACAGCACATTTTCCATTTAGAGAATTAGTTTAGAAGAAAACAGAATTTAAATCATGTAAAACACTTAAACAGATGTGTCCGTCAGTATTCAGGAATTCACTTCATGGAGATCTAAAAAGCTGTAACAAAATTGTCAATGTTTGAAAAAAATCATATTCAATCACTAGTAATATTAAGAGGTTCTTATTCGTTTTTTTTCTAACATGTATTTTTATATGAAAAAGAAAATTGGCACAGTACTGCCTTTGGTCTTGGATAGAAGTATTGATATGATTATTTCCTTAAAAACTTTCATTTTGGCTGACAGCTGATTTGCAAAGGTGTCTTACGTTTTTGATTAGGGTTAGACAAAAAATGGATTTTATCTTCTTTCTCCTTCCTTTTGCTCAAGGACAACATGTGACAGAAAGTTATTGTTTTTGTTGTGATGTTTCCACAGCGCAATAATCTCCATCTTAATCTTAATACAGTACAGGTTTTTATCATACATATATTTTTATGCAATATCTGAATAAAGAGATGAGAGTAAAGCTTGCTAAGCCTTTCTGATTTTATTTAAAAATCAAAACATTGCAAATCATTTACCGCACTTTTCCCACTACATTGTGGGAGAACCATACAAATGTCAATACTTTTGTGGTAGCTGTTCTCTGTCAAACAATTACCCAATAAAATACACCAAGAGTTTTGGTGTATAAAATTTCTGTGGGACACAAATATTCTTTATAGACAATAAGCAGTCAAAGCTGTGCTACTGATTGGCTCAAACCACCCCACCCCTATCCCCACAAGACTCTATTTCCATGGCCTTCTTCAAATCAGTGGCCTTTCTCTCCATTTGTTTGAAATTTACTTTCTCCTTCACTGTGGCTTATCCCTCCATCCATCTCTTCCTTCCAAAGGGGCTCTCAAGTTTCGCTGGAACTGTTTTAGTGTAATTGATAATGGTCTGTAATTCACTTCTGGCTCCGCTATGCCAGTCAGAGGTCCACCCGTAAAAAAGAACAGAGAGAGAGAGGGAGAGATTTTCAAGATGTATTGAGTATCTCATCTTATTTTAAGTAATTTATTAAGTCTGCATACTTGATCTTCTCCTTTTACAATTCTTGGAAGGACTTACGTACCTTTGGAACTGTGGACAGGTGTCGGTAGAATGCAGCAAGTGAAGGTTTTGGCCTCAATATTGATCTGTGAGTGGGAAAAATGGGTTTAGGAAGGTGTGTTGGTCAATTGATAAGTTTTCATCTTTAACATTGATTCCAAGGTGCGCGCACCTAGTACACCTGGGAAACAAACAATACCAGGATGCCCTATGAGAATAGTACAACCTAATGTAGGTGGTATGAAGTTTCAGGCAATATCCTGCAAGGAAGCCTTGTCCTGCAATGCATTTGAATGTTAATATACAATGTACCACCTACCTGAGTTTTGCTATTTTCTTTTACAGTAAACCCCTTTACCAAAAGAGTGCTTAAGGCTGTTGACCCTGTCAATCTGTTGATACTCCTTGCCGCAGAGCAACAATAGTTCATAGTAAATGTTGGAAAAGTACAACAATGTGTTTGAGGAGTTGACTTCCATATTTCTCAGATGCCAGAACAATCAAGCTGTAACAATTATCTAATCAATGGATGCCCTGCATCAAAACTTACAGGACTTCAATGTTCTGTTGCAACCATATTTTTTTTTGCCAGATATTGACAATATACTGTTAAGCAACTACGCAATGGTCATAATGATATGCCAAAGCTGCAATGTAACCCTAAACTGAGATTCCCTGACTTGTTACATACAACTCTAATGTTAAACGTTATTTCCATCCACAGATACAGAATCCAACACAGACCCCGTTAGGATGAGGCAACAAGGAAGCAACCTTCCTACCCTTGAGCAACAGCAGAGTATGAATAATAAAGGGATCCCATATGTTGCAGCTTGTAAAACTAGATCACCAACTGTGTGCCCAAGGAAGTTTGGGATGCTCAGGGGCACCTTAGGGCATCTGGGGTGGCCGGCTTTAGACCTAGCAGGCTGTCCGCTGCACGTTGCCCACCTCAGGGTGACATAGACACACTGTGGGGATTTCAACAACCTCAAAAGGCATGACAGGAGCCACTGTGAAAGTAACTTTTTATTTATTTTACTTTTAATGTGAGCCACAAACAGCTTATCTAATTGAGCGGTGATGGTACATTTAAAGTTGGATAACCTTATTGGACAGCATCCTTATTTTAACAAGTTACTATGTAAGATTGGTTGAAGTGTAAGGGTTATTTTAAAGGTTAAATCTTTAATGTCCAAGATCATCTTTTGTCCTTGAATAGGGGAAGTTTCAGGTCTTCAAACTCGAGTCCAATTAAGATCTTCAGCCTTCATCCCATGTCAGGTTTAAGGCCTTTCATCTGAGGTGCGATTTAAATGATTTAAGAGGCCAGTTTCAGTGAGGTGCTACTTCATTACTGTTTCATTTCAAGCCCCAGTAAAGTCTTCATTCTTGAGAGGGAGGTTCAAACATCATCTTAAGACTTAATCAAATTGCAAGTAATACATCCCATTTGCATTTTAAGTCAAAATAAAAAATTAAAAGGTAGGATAATTTTAATGATTCATATATGTGCTTGTTAAACCCTAATATTACCTGCCGGCTAAGTGTCAAGCAGTTTATATAATTAGGACAAGATTTGGAATTGAAATGGGGGGATTATTCCTAACAAATAGCTCTTTTACTGTGCATTTGAGTTGTCCTTGATCTAAAAACACTATACTATAATTTGAAATGGCTGGAGCCAGTAAAGCCTCCACATATACAACCATGTATGATGTAATGATGTGAGATGTGACAGGGGGACTCTGGTGATGTATAAAATCCTTCTTTAACTGTTATCATTGCCTGAGTTTCAGCCATTTCTCTGGTCTGAGTAACATAACAAATCATATAAAAACTTTTGTCATGTCTCAGATATTTACAGTATTTTGTGGACTATAGAGGCAACTCACTATAAGCCGCACCACTAAATCTTTTGAACAAAATGGACTTGTACGTATATAAGCCGCATTGGGCTATAAGCAGCTGATATCTACTGAACTGTATCCCACCAAACCTGTAGGGGGAGCTCTACATATAGCCCTGGAGTAGGGATAAAGAAGAATGCTAGCTCTTGCTAGCTTGTTGGTTCGCAGCAGTTAGAGCTTCTAATGAAAGATGGGGCTTCGTTAGCTCTTTATTTTAGCTCTGCAGGAGTTGACAAAATGTCAAAATGTGTGAATTCAGGACATTTGTTCTTCGTTGTGCATGCTGCTAGCATGTTATTGTGCTAAATGAAAATTAGCCCCTTATTCTTTCATTTCCAACGTTGACATCCCCCTCTGGCGGTTAGGAAAAATCCACAGAAAAGTATAAGCTTATAGTCTGGAAAATATGGAAATAAATATACATTATGAAGTGTTACTGTATGTACAGTATAGTCAATGTTCTGAGTGATCTCTTTTCAGGAAAGAATCATGGAGAAAAAGCTTAATGGGTTAGGGCAGGCATACTTTATTCGATATTTTTCAATAGTTGTTCTCAGCTACATCTAAAACAGTAGGACGAAGCTGCAAGGTTTAAAAGTTCACAACTTAAGATATCTGTTCTTATGGTGTATGGCCAGATGCTCTGATGCAATCTGACTGCTTACGCTGTACATCCAAAACCACTCGTCATACTCAGTGCCTTGCAGAGAAAATGGAATTGTTCTGTATTTATAAATAGAAGTACATGTCCCGTATTTAGTGAAAAAGCAATGCACTTTTTCCCTTATTACCGTGAGAGTAAAAAAATGGTCAGTAAAAAGCTAATGGAAAATGAACAACAAGGGCACATTTGATACAAAACTTACGGTAAACTTGATCCCGGGACTAGTCCTGTATTGTGACCAATGAGCTGACAGCATATATGTAACGATCCAGAATACCCTCATCCTATTGGTCGAGCCAAGTGTTGCTCACGGAGAAGATAGCAGGAGACAGTTATTTAAATGCTGAAGCTGCTTTTGGGGGCGGTGCACCTTTACATAGCGATCCTCCTCTGAAAAAAAATGAGGCAGAAATATTGGGAGGAATGAAAAATAAATAAATATCTGGGTGGAAAATGTCTGGGATAGTGAATATAAAGTCCAGTGCAAATATACATCTAATTCAATACAGATTTGAGTCAAATAGTTAAAAAAAAATTTCCCACACAAAGGGGGGTTAAAAAAATCACGTCAGGAGGGGTAAAGGCAATCGGTTCAGCACATGAGGTCTCCCTTTTTTTTTTTAAGGGAGTTGGCAACCCTAGATGGCAATGATCAGACTTATCTATCCAAGTTAGTTTAGATAAAGTCTAAGCCGATTTCTTTTTCTTTATATCATGTAGTAGAAACTTGAGTCCAAATTTTAAGACTTAAGCTCCCATCTCAGGTGTATTTTTATATCAATATGTCTCTGGTTTGATGCTGACTTGATTTGTAAAGAAAATCTACTAAATACTAAATAATTGGGCAGCTGTTTGTTGGACTGCTGAGTGAACAACAAGCTAAATCTGTACCTGTATACCCTAATATCAAAATGAACTGTGTTACTGAAATTCATATTGATCTTTCTAAAATTGTTGTTTGAGGAAATGAGGTCAACATGATGTGGGTAACTTATTGCCAAATGGGCATGAAAATATAATAAAATTATGTTTTTTTTGTTTGTTTTTCTGGAAACTGGGAATTCAAGCAATATGTGATATAGTTTTACCTTATGGTGTTTAGGTATGAGTGAATAAAAATGAATGCAGACTTCTTCCATGTTCTTCCAAAATTAGACCATAAAATCCTAAAAAGAAAACTAGATGCAAGCAGTTTTCCACCAAGAACAATACCTTTCTTGTAAACAACATAATGCCATAAAAATGAGTAAGGTTTTTTTTTTTGAAGATGTTTTTCACTTATGAATACAAAATAATATCTTCTGCTCTGATTTCTCATCAATGTTTGATGCATTTCATTTAGGATGACCATCAAGTAACCTAAAGCCATCATAATGCATTTCAAAGAATGAAATCTAAAGCGTTGATATTTATCCATAATAACTTTTTAAAGCACCTTGCTTTGGATTGTCTCTCAGTGCACCAAAAGCAAGCAATCATAAAGTACACCAACATCTTTCACCTCCCTGCTTCTATTTGTTGCTCCACTGCGCTTATGAATTAAGCCCACAGATTTGTTTTCTCTCCAACACTTAGCGGACTTATCAGGTTCTGACATGGCTGTGCTGTCGCTGGCCCAGCCCTCAGTTGGCAGCATGCTGGAGAGTTGCTTTGTTTGGTGAGATGTGTTCAGCAATTCAATTTTCTCCGCTTCACAGGACAACTGGAAAAGAACGAGGATTGAGGAGGCAGTAATTGAAAGGCAGTAAAACTCATCGCATGGTCCATTTCTTTGACCTGTATTCCCCCTTTTGTGTTTGTAGCACCTATATTTACTGTATAGTTTTCATTGCTGTCTGACCAATAGCTTAACTCGTCTTTTTTGGACAGTTTAAATTGTTATCAGTTATTGACGAAAATATGTGTCTCTGCTTTGCCTTTAATAGACAGATCCCTCTGTATTCTTCCAAAACTTCTGGCTAGACCTCTACAATATATAAAGGTTTTGAATGAAATAGTTTTTACTTTAAAAATTCTAAGTTATCAGATTTTGACTTTCTGCAACCTCATTCATCAAAGATTGCTTAATAAGTCTGTTTTTATGCCCAAACTCTGAAAATGGCATATACAGAAGATATTTAAAGATTCATCGAATCATCACTGCACAAAAACAACCACATTTTCTATATAATCACAATTGTGCGTTTAAGGCACCGCCTTTTGTTCAGCCCTCTCCCCTGTTCAAGGTCAGCCATAAATGATCCATGCAAACCACCACATGAATGTGTCATGATTGGTTTAAGCGATCTGACCCACATGCAGAGAACCACTCAGAGACCGAGGGAAAAAGTTTAACAGGTTTATTAAATGTAGACGAATAACAGAAGTTGGATCTGGAACTAATTGGACTGGTGAACCGGAACTAAAAAGTGAAGGGGAGATCACAGTGATCAGTTCAGGGACCGTAGGAAATTTGACTGAGGCTTGAATGTTACTGGAGAAGGACTCATTTTTGAGGGGGCTCTAGTCAATCCTTGAATCCAGCTTGTGGGGGTTAATCCAGAGAAGAGGGAACTCGTTGGAGGGCAGACAGATAGACTAGAGTTGGACCCAGAGGAGTTAAGGAGCGGACTGTCATTCGGATTTCCGAAGAGGACTTGAACGGTTCAGGTGGAGGTTTTTTCACTGCTCATTGTCAGTTAATCCTGCCAGGGGGAGAAGGTCCAGGTATCCAGTTACTTAGGAAGGCTTCCTGCCGAAGAGCACAAAAACTAGATAAGACTCAGAGAAACAAAGCTTAGGTTAGACTCTGCTAATCTCAGCTCGGCTAGAGTACCCTAAATTGGCAAACACTCTGGTGTCGAGGTAGTGACAGCCCACTGCTGAAATACTCCTAGAGTAATGATCCAAAGAGCAGCAGGTGTGCAGGGAGGCCCAACGAGGACAGGACACCACCTGGTGGTGGAGAGAGAAAAACACACTAACAACCCACACAAACTGGATTCCTAATAGGAATGTCTGTGTGGATGTAAATCAGCCTTCTGAGCAATGTTAGTTTATGAATGACATGAGAGGAAAATGCAGTTTAACCGACGCAGAAATAGATGTGTTAGAGTGAGGTGGAAGGTCAGGAAAATATTTTTTGTTAGCCACAAAGGTGGTGTGGCAAATACAAATAAATATTAGATATGGCAAGTGAGTTTGATGGATGAGCTGATTATATCAATAATTCTTGGCCATAGGCAGTACTGAGCCAAGCACTGGTTTTGATATCTCAGCTTTATGGATAATTTAACTGAATTATTTTGCTCTTAAAAGTTGCTTCATTCAGAAAGTGAATTAATCGTTGTTTATGTTTGTATGTGAAGCCTGTTTAGGGTTTATTCTGGAAAGAGCTGGTTGCCAGAAACTACAGAGTGGTCAACAGCTATAATTAACATATGAAATAGAAACTTACAAAAGCAGAACATCTGAATTAACACCACTTTATGGTATTAAAGATGGTCAGTTACATCAATCTAATAAATTTAGATGGTTGTTTATTTCTTCATAGATACGTAGATTATCTTTGTTCTTTAATAAACTACTGCCTGAAACCGAATCTGTGTTTTTGCCTATATTAAATCACTTATTTATATATGTTAATTACCTTTTTTATACTGTCTATACCGTGAAATCTTGGTTATCGGTATTTATCTATATTAATTTATTATTGAAACCCAGCTGTCTTTTTCAAACTCAATTAAATTAAGAAATACTTTATTAATCTTGAAGGAAAATTTAATTTTCCAGTAACATAGTTTTTTGTTTTTACTCTTATTTTTCATTGAGTTGTAGGTGTTATAGCTGTTGGCAGAAATTATCCTCTGGTCTTTCTTGCACTGGATCTGGAGAAGCCACTGACTGAAGACACTCAGTTGTTGCTTAAAATAATCTTTTGAAGAGGATTCTCACTGTTGTCCATGGTCTTTGTCACTTTCTGAAGAATTCTCCTTTGTGAAATAATCTCCAGAGGTTCTAGAAGAGTTCCTAGAAAGCCGACCTTCTTCATTGGCTTGTTGAGCTTATTTAAGACAGTTGCTCTGATGCTGTTACCTCAGCAGATGATGTTTTTCTACCTCCTCCTATTTAAGAAGTGATGAACATTGATTGTTTAAGACATAGATCCAAGAGCAGTGCTCTAAGAAATCTAATCAGCTAATAAACCAGTAGTCATTATACTCATTATGGGTCAGGGAATCTTGAACCCATAAAAAAAAAGAGTTCCATCTTCCATTTTCAGTTTTCCCCAGAAGAGGAACATCCATTGTGCACCATTACCTACAGGTGTCAAATAGGTATTCAAATGTTTTATACATCTATTCGTGTGAAAGCTTCACAAATTGTTACGTTTATGTGTTGATCTACGACTTGTCCTGTTGATCACAGAGGAGAGGAATGTGATGGTGAAAAATTGTTTGAAATACTATGCAAACTTTGATTAAAAAGTTGAGGTCTCGGGCCTAATTTATTTGATATATATATATATATATATATATATATATATATATATATATATATATATATATATATATATATATATATATATATATATATATATATATATATATATATATATATATATATATATATAAATGTTTTATGTTAAGGGATATTAAACTTGGGTAGGACTTAATTTGGGTTCAATTCTTCACCTCATTGTCTGTGTGGTTTACCGTTTTTATCTGAAAAAATGTTTCAAAGCGTGCTTCAGAGCTTAAGTGAGTGACAGCATGTTTTCCACACCATGTTTGTTTTTGATAAAACAACCAACCGTGCCCTGTGCATGTTTCAAGCCCTATTTTGCTTTATAAGTTAAGCCTCTGATACTTTAAATGCTATAAAGATGCTATAAACCTTATTTATATAACAAGTTTATGTGTGAGGTAATAAAGAAGGTAATAGAATAAGAAATAGAGACAGGGAAATATTTTGTGTTCACTTTAGTGTGAATGTTTTTGCCTGTTTTTATGGCCTGAGATATGATTTGGAGTCGAGCCGCATAATTCAGAGGGGATAGAAGATTATGCACCATCTGTGTCCATTTCCCTGTGGCCCTGTCAAAATTGATCCACAACCCTTGACCTTTTCAGAGTGCTTTCCAGCCGCTCCGTCCTGTCGGTGTGTTGCTCTGCAGGCTTGTGGGTGTTCTGTATATTTGCTGTGTTTTGGGGATGACTCAGCTTGCATTTCCATAACCTTTCCACTCTGTAACAAAGTGCAGGTAGGGCACACTCAGGATGATGTTTCTCTCGTCTCTGTGTTGTGGCACAAATCAAAGGTCAAGGTTTGTCTGTTGGACTGTGGAATACTGCTGCACCAAATAAACAGTGTTTGCTAAATAGGTCATATTAAATAATAGATAT